CCTTTCCTTTATTCTTTTTCGTAGCTTCCCGTAATCGTAGGTAGGTACGTTGACGTTAACGCGAAAACTTTCTAAAGGTATCGTTCCCCGTTGCCTTTCTTTAACACCCTACAAAAGTCCGTTCTTTCGTAACGCAAGAATTTCGAATCCTATCGTTTCACCTTTAACCCGTCTTTCTCTCTCTCTCTCTCTCTCTCTGTCTCTCTCCCCCCCTCCCTCTTTCTCTTTCTCTCTCTCTCCTTACCGTTCGATTTCCGATGCATACAACACTTCCACTATTTCGCGAGAGTTTCCCTTGCGAACTGAAAATCCGACCCCCATAGGCCTTTTATCTTATTAGCTCTTCGAAAAGTTTCCATGCCCGCGCGTGCCTTTAATGGTAACCATTTCGGAAGGTGCTTTATCTTACGATGAATAAGTTCTCCCATTTAATATCAGCCCGTATATCTGGTCTCTTCATTAAAATGCAAAATTCAGTGCAATTGCCTGTTCACGAACCCGACGGAGCCAACAGTACTCTTCCTTTATCTTTTCTCTCCCTACAACCTTCTATTTTTCTTTCTTTCTTTCTTTCTTTCTCCTGTTTTTTGTTTTACTTTTCTCTTCTTTCTTTCTTTTTTCTTTTTTTTTTTCTTTTTTTGCGTTTTTTCTTTTCTTTTTTTTTTCCTTTCTTTCTTTCTTTTTTAATCCTTCCTCTTTCGTTTTTTCTTTACGCCCTTTACGTACGTTTCAACGCTAAGTGTTCGTAATATTTTTTCAGCGGGATACGAGTTTATACGCGCGGCCGAATAAAGCCACTATTTCTATCCACCTCCGGCCTTTCTCTCTCTCTCTCTCTCTCTCTTTCCCCCCCTTCTTTCTTTCCTTTTTTCTTCTCACTTTCTCCCACGGTCGTACCTCTTACCGTTCTTAGAACCGCCGCTCCACTTAGTTTTCGTAGTCAGGATGATAGCGGGGAATACGAAGAGGGTCGGAGAGAGTTGAGGATAGTAGGCGAGAGGGTAGATGGGATAAAAGAATCGCCATTTAACGGGAGAAAAATGTGCTCGACTGATTAAAGAGCTAAAGTAGGATCCATGGAAGAAAGTTTTCTCTGCTTAAGAAAACGCAAAGAAATGATCAACGTATTTTTAGTGTATTTATAGGAAAACTTTTATTATCGCCATTATTTTCTATGTTTTCTCATCATTATTACGGTTTCTCTTACAAATATTATTATTATTATTTGTTATTATTTATTTATTTATTTATTCACTTATTTATTTATTTATTTATTTATTTATTTATTTATTTATTTATTATTATTTTTTTTTTTTTTTTTTTTTTTTTTTTTTTTTTTTTTTTTTTTTTTTAATGAATCAAACGAAAAATGTAACAGGAAAAAAATAAGCTTAGCCATTAGAGCTGGTCGTAAATGCTCCTTCAACCCTTATAAAAATGTCAACATAATCTTAAAGCCGTTCGATTATCTCTCATATTCTTTCACGGTCCACTACCCTTTCACGCTCTTTCTCTTCTCTCTCCGAGAGAATTAACCGACACAACGTGCGCAAGTAACTTCAAGGGATGAATCAAGTACGCGAGTTGCATTAATTAACTCACTTGGCAACGAGACCGAGTTTAACTAGTTTCAAACACTTTTTTGTTCCATGGTATTACATTAGTTCGTTATATGTATATTGTTTTCGTTGTAACTACGGGTCTCGTTGACACATCGCGCGTAGCATAAGAATGTTGCCTTTCGTTTAAAATTAAAATAAACAGAGGAATACAATGGAAATGGTGCCTTATAAATTTAAAAAATTTATATATATATATATATATAAATATATATGTATAGAAGATTTTATTTTTTCAAAAGAAATATTTTTATTTTATGGCGCGTATGTAAAAATTGTATTCCTGTTTTATGAAATAAGACAGAGAAAGGAGAGAGAGAGAGAGAGAGAGAGAGAGAGAGAGAGAGAGAGAGAGAGAGAGAAAGAGAGACAGAGGCAGAGAATGTGAAATATGTAGCATACATCGATAAAGAAAGAAAATAAGAAGTATTTACGATGACCTGAGTATTACAAGAAATGAAGTTACTTCGATACTTCTCAAAGGGACATGTAATTACGTCCACGTCAAAGGAATTGTTTCACAATCAAACATTCGCTCGTATGGAGAATACTGTGTTAAGAATCGAAGCATTCGAGGAATTCCGTTTGGATCGGTCATATCGATCGAGCAAGCACGTAATTGAAAAACTTTCTGTCTTTGACAACAATACGTTGTTTCGTCATTACTACTACCATGAGCAATACCGAAAATGGCATCGCCGTTGCGATCGTACTTACTTCTATTATCCTTTTTTTTTTTTTTCATTTGACTCTCGATATTTTAATATTTGGCTCATGACATTCTTAAACGCGACGAAATTCCAGAAACGATATCGCAAATTCCGCGCTCTCTCCTTTTATCTCTTTTTCTATCTCACTCGCGAAACTTGGAGAGCACCAGCCGCTCGATCTCCGATTTATTCAAACGTAATTCCGCCCGGCTGGCATAGTTTCAGATCTGCAGATGAACTCGACGTTCTCCCGAATATTCCTCTCTTTTTCTCTCTCTTTCTCTCGCTTTCTCTCCTTCTCTCTCTCGCTCTCTCTCTCTCTTTCTTCTTTCCTTTTCCGTGTAGCGAAATATCGAGGCGAGGATAAAAATCGGTCGGTCTCCGTCCGGAAACGTTTCTACAAGCTTCCATCTCGATCTCGGTCCTGTGGGATTCTCCGATCTATCCCTCTTCGGGCCAGGGAGAGATAGGAGTTCTCGAGACGAAGCGAAACGATATATGAAACACGCTCGGGTTTAACTTTTTTCAAAGTCCGACGGAGTTGAACGCTGTCCGTAGCGTTAGAAGCTACGAATCGTGATCCTCACCGGCAATCATCTGAGTAACGTCACGCCGCCGTCTCTAGTCTTTGTAACATATTTGAGTCCGGCAATAACTGCCAGGAACTAGCAACACGTTCGTCCGCAATAAGTTTGGCCATTGCGCCGATGCGCCGGCCCGCTCGAGGAAATTAAAACTTGTGCAATTCGGTAGGATCCGTAGGCAACTCCCAGTGGGCTTATCAGCCGCGGCCTCGGTGCTGCCGCGTGAGCGGCACCCACAACTATACGCGAGCAATAACGAGAGAGAAAAAGAGAGATAGAGAAGATAGAAAGGAAAGAGCGCGCGCGAGAGAGAGAAAGAGAGAGAGAGAGAGAGAGAGAGAGAGAGAGAGAGAGATTGAACCCAAGAGAAGAGACCTATCTAAACTACGAAGCGTGCGTACCCCTGGGTAATCTTCATTTCTAAACTGTTACCAACGCTTTCCACGATTCTATGCAACGCCAGTTCTGACTTTTGATCGGTGAAAAATTCTTTTCCATCTACCCGACCATCCTCGACTTCCATTGCTTATCTCTCCCTTGAGGCATTTCGTTAGAGAAAGCACCTGTTTACCAGACTTTTTCGATGAAATTCTCGGGGGCCGTAAGCGATTTTTCAATTTAATGAGCAACTTATTCCGCTCAATGTTCCGCATTGATGTGAAAACGCGAGAGATCGATCGGCAAAATACGTTTTAACCATCGGCCCCGTTTTTCGAAAACAAGACAAACGAGAGTGAGAGAGTAAGAGAGAGAGAGAGAGAGAGAGAGAGAGAGAGAGAAAAGAGAGAGATAGAGAGGGAGGGGAAAAGGGAGGAAAGGAGGAGGTTTGCAGAGAGGGAGGTAGAGTACGAACGAAAGGAAGAGAGAGAGGGAGAGGGTGGATTGGATCGATGTGCAGCAATTATCGTCTACGACGACGACGACAACACGCGATCGTTGCTTTTATCTACGTGCGTTCAACGTTATTTTAATCCCAACCTTTCCTTTTTTATCGGCGATAAAGTGAGAGTATATCGGAAAAGTCACGGTAATTTACATAAAATAACGTGATTTATGGTCTTTATGTTAAACGTCAAACGATCTATATCTTACGCACGATTCTAATTGATCTATCTCCATTGTTCATAATTATCAATGAAAATATTAAACAGACGTACGCGGATTAATTTTTCAAATACGCTTTTGTCGCCGATATATAATTACGTAATTACGTTGAATAAACCAAAAGCTTTGGAGTCAATCAGTCACGTTAATGTGCGTGGGAGATATTATCAATTACACTTTCACCCGGCGTGACACCGATTTCGCCGATCATTATGTACATAATTCAAAGCGGGCTTGCGCTCTATAAATCTCTATATGTTTGTTCGTGAAATCGTACCATCCGTTTAAGGGATTCTCTCTCTCTCTCTCTCTCTCTCTCTTTCTCTCTTCGTGCGTGCTCGTTCACGTGTGTAAACGTACAATGACCTTCAAAGGAAAAATTGTTTATTCTAATGTGCGAATGCGTAAACGATTAAATAAATAAACGACAATATAGATTGTATCTCTATGAACGTTTGAAAGGAATGACAACAGTTATCGTGTTGAAAGAAATAATGAACTGGTTAAATATCGTGAAACAAAAGCGATGTAAAAAAATATGAAATTGTAGAAATAAAAGAAAATGAAAGGAAAAAAAATATATATACATATATATATATATATATATATATATATATATATATATATATATATATAGATATATATACATAACAAGAGTCGAAGAAAAATTTGTTATGTCCTGTGGCCTAAAGTACGATCGTACTTACGTGGACGTGAACGACGAAACGCGATGGTCTACGCAGTACAAAAGCACAGGCGCTTGCGCTAAAAGCCGTCGTAGGAGGGGGTGAGTCGATGTAGGGGAAGCTCGAACAAGGACAGAAGGTAGTGGGAGAGAAAGAGTGAAATAGAGAATGAGAGAGAGAGAGAGAGAGAGAAAGAGAGAAAGAGAGAGAATCGGAGATCTCGGAGGGGTGGAAGGAGAGACACCGATGGAAGCTTCTGCGGAAAACGGAGAATCTACGGGAGTCAGTGCAATTCGCGTCGCGACGGTCTTCGCTCATCCGATCCGTACTCGAAGGGCCAAACGAGGGTTATAACAACGACGAGAAAATCTTTCAAAGTAAATCACGCGAAATTCAATGGTATAACGTGTGCCTATTATTTATCGTCACGTTCATTCCCATCGTCGCTCGTCCTTCGTCGATTTTCGTTCAAGAAATTTGTCCTCCATTATCAAAATAATTTATTTCAAGTCGAATACGAGTGCGTTTACTCATCGTATTAAACGTCGATCGCGAGTGCTATATTGGGAAAGTTAAACAGTTATAAAAAAAAAAAAAAGGAAAGGGGAAAAAAAAACAAAAGAAACAGAAATGAAAAAAAATCGATCGATTCGTCCTTTCGCACTATCGAATATTATCGATCGTCGTGCGTGATAAATCTACGTAAACGTTTACGTAAGACGCATATTTTATTTTGTTCGTTTCGATAAAAAAAAAAAAAAAAGAAAAAAAACATACATTACGAAGGAATTGATTTGTATGCTCGACGTTAGATTACAAAGGAAACAAGAGCGATCTTTATCCTTCAAACCGAGTGACACATCGATTTTGCGTATCCTAGCGCGAAGTTCAGCATTATTGGAAAAGTACGACGAAGTACTTGAAGTAAATTTATAAGACACAGACTTTCCATCCCGGGCGTTTCATCAACCCTCTCTTTCTTCAACATCTTCGTTCCCTTTTTCCCTTTGACGTTCATCTTTCACTCTTTCACCTCGACCCTTTGCTTTCTTTGGAAGGCTAGCTTTTACCTTTTTAGAACTTCGCTCTATTTCTTTCTGTCCTTCACTTTCAAGTTCTCGATTAAATTGCGATTCAAAACTCAATTCTAACCAGGTAATAATAATGATCGGAAGCTCTTACAACAATTATGAATGTAGAAACTTTGCGGGCGAACCTTTGAAAGTTAGTTTCTATTCGACACCCTGCCCCCCGTAGTCCTTTTCTATCTTTCTCTTTCCCAAACTCTTTCCATCTCACTTCATCTAACTCCTGCCCTTTCTCTCTCTCTCTCTCTCTCTCTCTCTCTTCCTTCCTCTCTCTTTCTCTTTCTCTTTCTCTATCTTAAATCTGATAACTTTCAATAAACGAGAACGAACAATGAAATTTATCTGTAGTATCCATGAATCAATCGACTGTTGAATTGGAATTCTTTTACATATGTACGCCCGTGGGGAAAGAAGTTCTTCCCTTTTACAATTCGTAACCATTTCGATGGCGATTCAACAAGCGTTGAAATTAATTGTCACGTTTTCAAACGCGAAAGCATATGTTTAAAGTCGTTACACATATGCGTAAGCACGTTTTCTCGGTATACAGTGTAATATTTAAATCAAACGTGTACGTTCATTCAAAAACGTTATATTAGTTCGATATCACGCAATGAAAACGATCGAATGGAAAACAATAATATCGTATCAATGGACGACCTTTTCTGTATTAATAAACATACCAGATTGTGATTGGATAGGTATACTCTCAAAAGCGTGTTTATCAACAGAATCTGATTTGGTCCTATACGTAAACACGTACTCTTCAGAACGTCAGTATATTATCTGTTAATCAATCTACGAGGACGTATTTTCAATCTCTCTCGAAACGTCTTGAAGAAAAACTTTGGATATAATTAAAAGGTAAGTTCATGTATTTGTTAAATAAATATTTTACGTGAAACTGAATTATTTTCTCTCTTTTACTTTATCTATCTATCTCTCTATCTATCTATCTGTCAATCTATCTATCTATCTATCTCCCACTTTTTCCATTTTCTGTAAAAGTTAAGTTTGCATGAAGTATTCGTTCATAAAAACGATCTACAAACGATGAACTTTGCAAGTTGAATATTTTTATCCTCGACTACGTCGATCCTCCCTTCTCTCTCTCTCTCTCTCCCTCTCTCTCTCTCTCTCTCTCTCTTTTCCTTTACTTTTACGGAATAGAATCCAAATTTTATTAAAATACTTCGACACTTCAATATATAACATGACAAGGATAATGTTTTTTCAGGGATGAAGAATGAAATTCAGGCTTATTAATAATGCGTCTTAACTCGCTTGTTAACTAATTGATAGAAGTAATAGTTAGATCCCAAGACATTCTTAATTCTCTTTCTACGTCTTAATTCTCGATGGTAATTCGTAGTCATATTTCACGTAGTTAGGAAGGTACGTTAATGATGGTAAATTATCCGTAAAATTGCAATCGTTAGATAGTTGTTTGCTTTCTTTAATAAGATATTTCCTAAACGTTTGAAGATCTCTTTTATTTCTATGAACTTTTTATACTTTTCTTTCCTTTCAGTTTTGTTTTCTCCGTTTGACGTTACTTCGATGCTTTTAAAAAGTGATAATAACACTTAAAGAGAGTAAGATCGGAATAGTAGAGTAAATGACTTGGAATCGGATTAAGTGAAAAGCTTTTCATTAACGTCATGTACCATTTCGCATGTCGATAATCTCTAGAGCCATTGCGATTTTAACGCAATCGACCAATACTGAGAAACCTACATTCTGTAAACGAAGTGAGAGACGTGTATGTACATTTGATAATTATAAACGCTAATTGCTTTAGACTCATATACGAATAATCATGTTTCCTCTTAGCGCTAGAAACTGAGTTCCACTGAGAGTTGGATTATACATATTACTCTTATCCACAGTATAGTGTATACGTCACAAAGCTTATGTAATCATGTCATATCGCTTTTCCGATAATTACCAATTCACATTAGGAACTATCTTTATTATGAAAAAAAAAAAAATAAGAAAAAAATCACACACACACACACACACACGCATATATATATATATATATGCACACACGTTCTTGGATTTGTATGAGAATTGTAAATGAATTTAACGTAAAGAAAAAAGAGCAATGTACAAAAGCAAATTTTTATAAAATAACTCTTTATTCGTATGCTATATAAAACTAGGGATCATTCGGCGCGATAAAAGTCAGAAATCAATTTCACAACTACCAATAAAATTGTACTGCATATATATCGCAGGATCTATATCACGGAACGTTGCAAATAAATACAATTTACTGTAGTGTTCGTTTAATGCTCACTATCCACGCGCAATTCCATGCGTTAACCGTAACGGAGAGCCTCGTCGAGCGCTTTTATCCAACCCACTCGACATAACGAGAAATTAGCTGTGAAATAGGCTCTAGTCGAGCCATCCCTGACTTTATAATTGGATGCATCGATTAAAAACCGTGCGGAGAAAGCCGAGTCACGTATACAACGTTTGTCCTACCAATTATTAGAGTTAATTCCATAATCAAGGAGAGAGAAAATCGATTCGACGAGATTACTTCCTCATCGAGGATATATTATACTATACCTCTTTTCTTCTACTCGTGTAAACCCTTAAACGCATTAAATTACACTTTCACGAGATGGAAGGAACAATTTTTAATCGACGACTACTCGGCAGCAATAATTTAAGAAGAATAGCCTACGCGAAATGTACTTTAACGATTTAAATGGAATGATAATTTCTAAAAGAGTTTAATTGAACGGGAAACTTTTCTTATTTTCTTTTTATTTTTTCTTTTTTTTGTTCTTTTTTTTTTTTAGTTTTTTGAATTGTTTTTTTACCTTTTTCTCGACTCAACAATCAATTTATAAGAGGCAGAGTTTATAATCAGATTCGAAGAAAATTTTTACAAGTTTACCGTCAAAGTGAAATAAACATGAAACCGATTTGTAGAATCGTTCTTTTCTACACAAATTGCAGACCTTTTCGATGTATATTACATATATTATCTTTTTCTCATTTAGATTTCATATGTTTTTACGGATACGTATATATAGTGAGTGAAAAAAAATTATTTACTCATGCCATTTACAAACAAGTAACTTTTAATAAACTGATAAGTAAACTCAGAAATATTGGATGAGCATAAAAAAAGAAAAATTAGTGTACTATATGAGATATGAAGAAGTACTATTAATTAAAAAAAAAAAAAAAATTGCTTTTTGTTATGGCGAATGATATTTAAATTTATGTTGTACTTTTTATCACTTTTACAATGAAACGCTATTTTCTTTTTTTTTTTTTTTTTTATTCATATAATTCATTTAATATAACAATTATTCATATCTTTTTTTTTTCTTTTTTTTTTTTACAATTCAAAAGCTCTTTGGTTGACATTTCGTTTTTGATAGTATACTTTTTTATTCATTATTATGTTTAGACAATAATAGATACGGTACATAACATTGGTAGACAAGTTTAAAGGGATTTCTGCAAGCGAAGCGTTTGACTTATCCAACTTGTCAGGATTACGACTTTCTCGTATGTGAACCAATTGGTATGTCATTCTCCATTTCTGTCTTTCATTCATATGTACGTATACTTTCTCTATAGCAATTCATCTGATGATGTTCGCAAACTATACCTATGGTCAATTCAGTAGCAATAAACGATTCTCGAGTTTCAAAGTGCAGTGAAACTTTCTGACCATAACACTTTCGAAATGGAGTACGATTACCAGTGTTATGCTAGAGGCGTATCTCAGTGGCTCTATCGCTATTTCCATGACTGGAAATACTGCGAATTTAAGTCTAATTGGATTAGTTCGCAATGTATAAACTTCAACATTATCGCTATCCCAGGATGGATAAAGCTTTCGTAATATCGCGATATATTATTAAACATTTAACATTATACATTTCCTTGATATTTTCTTAAGTTTTTCTTTTCTTTTCTTTTTTTTTTTTTCATCGTCATAGATCTCACTTATTCTATCGATATAATCGATTATTTGAAATTTTTTATTTTTAATAGAAAAATCGATTCTTTCCTTTATCAATATTATTTAAATAATTATTCATTATTCAATCGAATATAAAAATATTGTTAATAAATCCTTATAATTATACTGGAAGAAGATAAGATTAACGAGCAAAATGTTGACGCCAGTATTCGAGATCAGACACCGAATGATGTAGGAATTTCCTTTATCACGTATCATTGCAATTCGATATCAACGGACATACATTTGGTCGGTATTACTGCGATGTAAAGGTTGTCGATACATTAACGGTCCAATCAACTCTTACCAACGCACTTTGTGAATATCAATGCAAGCAGGAACGCGAGTCAAACCAGTCTTGCGACAAAACAGTCAGGTACATAACCGCCTATTGCCTGTCAATCCATGTCACTGCTTCTATAGAGACATAGAGCGTCCTTTGTGAAGGGCAACGCAACCGTGTGGTTCAACGCTGGACCGCGTTGATGTCAATTAAAGCTAAGCAGCTGCAAGAGATCGACTTGATCCAAACGAATCACTTAAAATGATATTATATTATCGTCGATTAAATCGGACGGATGATGTGCTATGAGAATAAAAATAAACCCTATCGAGAATTAATATTTCCTTATCTTTCTCGTAAAACATTGGATTTGAAATATTTGCACTCGACGTAGATATTTACTTCGATCAAAACGGAAATGTAAAAGTGACAGCGTAATCTTTTTTACTTAAAGTCTAAATAAATTAGACGGTCCGATAAATTGAAGAAAATTCCAAATGGTATATTTATCCTGACAGTAGTAGTAACATTTTGTGAACTTTCTGGTGAAGAATTTTCTGATTTACGAATCAGATAGAAATGTATTTTTATCTTATCAATTATAACGTCGAGTTTCTTGATATACGATTAGCAGACTGAGGAAATTCTTTTCTCTTTCTCTCTCTCTCTCTCTCTCTCTCTTTTCTTTTTCTTTTTTTCTCTTTTTTTTTTCTTTTCTTTCTTTTTCAAACGTTATTGTTTCTTTTTCAAATGTTCTTAACGGAAATTAATTTGCAATACGAGGATTATTCGTAATGGTCAATGTAAATTGTTACAGGGCAAAATTAATCAGGCAAAGCTCGTCAATCAAATCGCTTGCTGTTGGCAACGAGCACGTAACGCGTTATTGATCGATATACGGCAAACTAAAATATTCATTTGTTGTAACGTATCGGATAATATAAGTGTGCGTTTACATTCACGCACGTAGAATAATTCTCTTCTGGGTTGGCCGATTTAGCTTAACGTCGATCGCACGTAAATCATGAAGATCGTACGTTTCGATTTTTTGGGGTATTTCGGTATAACGAAATCCGTAGAGTTACGGTATACACGATGGTGAAAAAATAAGAAAGAAGAAAAATTCTAGATGGAAGGATATCTAACGCTACGTTCCACTCTTGTGAAAATTCGCGAGATAGGGGTTGGAGGGAAAGAAGGATAGAAAGGAAGAGAAACGCGGGCAACACAATACACGAACCTTTCACAAGGCGTCTATAAATTGGTATGCTACGAGGACAATTCAACGTAGTCGGCTTGCAGCCGGGTTAATTTAATTTAACCGCCGTGCCACAGGATTTGTTGCCGTGTATTCTCTGCCGTGGTTCGTGTTAAAGACGCTTAACGTAAATAAATGCCTTAACAATTTTTCCATCGAAGATTTTTGAAATAGGAACCTATTTTAAATTTTAGATAACGTTTTTACGTTACGTGACGAAATTGAAAACGTCTTTCTCGATATTACAAAATTGATAAGAATTTTATCGAATTTTTTATCAGGGGAAAAAAATTATATCCCATATTTTAAACAAACGTATTTATTTC